CTCGAGTTAGTTTTCCGACCCATTTCGGCACCTAACTACTTCCCTCCCCAAAACTTCTTGATAGGATCGGTGAGGTTTCAACGCCCGTTTTCGCAATTTGATTGTGCCATCAAGTGCCGGGATGGCCAATCTTCTCCCGAATCACCTGTCTTTAATCAATACCTCATCACTCACCTCTCCACTGTCATTCAACTCCAGATGACAATAGTTGACTAACTGCCATAGTGCACCACTAGTGCGTTAAAAGAACAATGGATATAATGAGGTTAAGTATGAAAAATAATGTTTTTTTTTTATTGACTTGGTTTCAATTTATCTCATTCTGTTTCAGACTATCCTGGTCTCGAAATCATTCCGAAAGCGCGAATCATTTTAAGCTGAGGGCATCAACAGGACGTTTTTAAATAAAAATGATTCCTCTACTCGAAACGGTTTCAGAGACCATTTTCCTTTAAAACTACAAGAAAAAGGGTTTTGCTCGATAGCCAAGTTGCGTCTGCACGAGTGTAAACTCCAGGTCCTTACATAACCCGACGATCCTCACTGCATAATTATGTCACGAACAAAAAAGAAAGGTTTGGCGCGGCCCATTTGGTTGGAGTGTCTGAGCGTGTTTGCATGGGCCCCTGTAACAAGCATCGGCCGGCTGGAATGCCTGGGCGCGGAGGCAGCAAATTCCGGTTTTGGCGTGGTGTCGGCGGCACATGCCCGGGCCTCAACGCCGCTGCTGTGGCCAGGCAACAGATAGAAAGAGTCGAGGTCCGTGCGACGGGATTGCGGCAGAGGTTTCACGGCGGCGGGCCTCCGCAGGCTTGCGGTGAGTCCGGCTGTCGGCGAGAGAAAAGCGAGGAAAATAGTTACGCGGAGGCTCAAGCCAAGTTTAGCTGACGAACGGAACCCGGTAGTTAAAATACTGTGTACACATCGGCAGTGGCGATCGTTGATCGTCCGGCAGCGAGGTATGGAACCCTCTTGGTATCCGGATTGCTGCTTCGTACATGCAAGTAAGTCCTGGGGCCAGCATGGACTTTATGCATCGCGAACAGGGAAAAACACGGCATCAGCGTTGCTGTGGATGGTGTCCAATTCTCGTGTTCCAGGTTTGAAGAACCGCTAAAAATAATGACGGCGTGCCACACACAACGCTTTCTTCCTCCGGTAGCCCCGCCAATACGAACCTCGTCCATGTTGGCTTGGAGATTGCCGAGCAGTTCCTGTTGGCAACCTGGTCGATTTGGGACTAGGTTCCGTCTCAGCGCCACTCGGGCCTGGACTCAGCCCGGTCTTCCCGCTCCTGCCATTGGCTGGGACGCTCTGAGCGCATCCGTCCGTTGGCCAAGCGTTCGCCAGATCCCATCAAATTCGAGCTGGGGCGTCTGCATTCCAACTGTCTCCCGATCATTCACTTACTGCATTGCTTCCACAGGCATCAGAGCCCCTCGTTTAATCTGTCTCACCTGTTTCTTCAGCCACTACACTCGCTTCGTCTGCTTTCCTCAAGTGCAAAATACCTATCGACACTTTGGAGAGACCGCAGACCCCCCGTTTCGTCTGGTGTTCCCATCATCTTGTTTTTCTCCACGCCATTTCGCGCGGGCCTGAATTTTGGTCGACCTAGTAATAGGGGCTACCCGAGCCAACGCCGTGCCACGCCCGTGTCCCGCCCATCGTCCGCCGAACACCGCAGACGAAATTCTCCGGTGTTGAACAAGATTTTCCTGGTCGAATTGTGCGGTCCTGGGGGGATCGAATAGCTCGGGCGCGGTCCGCAGTGTCGTCTCTGATTTTCCTCGCCAACCCCCAACAGCTCTCCGCCATGAAGTCTCCGCTATCCGTCGGCCAGTTGGCCGTGGCCGTGCTCTCCTTGACTCCCGCAGTATCTGCGTTGGCATGGCCCAGATGGCTTCCAGAACTGGACTCGCTAGTTGTCCGGCAAGATGATGGCTCCTCCCAAGATGGTATGCATCCACCGAACGCACGCATTTTGTTGATGCAACCGCGTCCCTAACATGCATCCTCCTACAGACTCGGCTACTGCCGCGCCGACAGCGTCAGCCTCCAGGCCCAGCGATAACGAAGAAGAGACGCAAGCGACATCTTCCCGCAACCCCGCGGACCCGATTCAAACAAACCTCAACACGGGCGGCATCAGCCAGACGGGAACCGAAACCGTACGAATGACGGGTAACGCCACACGCACGCGCGCGCCCAAGAAGACCGAGTTCGACCCGCAGGACCCCGTCGGTGGCGTGGTGATGGTGACGCCGGGGGTGTTTGACGGCACCCAGCTGTACAAGATCGGCGACTACGTGACGTGGGGGTGGAACTACACCAACGTGCAGGCCACGCCGACGGCGATCGACCTCTACGTCAAGTGCAGCAAGGTGCCGCAGCCGTGGACGCTGACGCAGAACATGTCCTTCACCGATCCCGGCACGTACACCTGGGACACGGAGAAGTTCCAGAAGAGCAACGTCGCCAACCCGCTGCTGACGGAACAATACACGCTGGTCATTGCCGACGCCGACGGCGGCATCAGCGCCACCCCCGAGCCCGGATACCTCGCCCCGTACTCCCAGTTTTACTTTGGGCTGTACGAGAGGCAGGAGTATCATGACAACAATGATGGGTATCAGTGCGCCTCGTGCAGCGGCGCGGGGTCCGGCATGGACAACCGCGCGGTGGGCGTTGCGGTTGTGATGAGCGCTGTGACGGTTCTCAGCTTTACCTGGTTTGTTGCTGGTTTTGGAGCGTTTCTTTGATTTAGCCCTAGGGGCTGAGGAATGAGGAGGGGTGGGAGGGACGGGGAGAGTGATGGTGACAGCGGATATGTTTTGTAATGTGTTTTAGGGACGGAATATGGCCGAGGTTTTGGTCCCGGTCTTTCCATATGGAGTGCAAAGAGCGGAAGGGCGTTGGATCGAGTACTGTTTTGCACTTCATCTGGATCATTTTTTTGCCCGGGCCGGGTTTAAAACTTGAACGAAGACGGTCGGGAGAGAGCATCTGTTGCATGTATTTTCTTACTCACGACACTGCATATATATTATCAGGTAGCTTAATGAAGCATCCCTTATGAATCGTGTGTATGTCATGGTCTGATTATGCCGACTTAAGAGAGTTTGAGAGTCAAACCCTCCAGCTTCTTCCTGGTGACCTACACCATCCGCAACGAGAACCCCCCTCCCCTCTCCTCCCTCTCCCTCCCTGAGAAGATGCCGCTGAAATCCACCGCCCCAAAATCCGCCGCCTGCTGACCCCGCGCGGGCGCGTTCGGCGTCTCCCGCCTCCGCCTCCTCTCCTGCCCGGCCTTGCTCGGAAAGGTCGGAAACATGGCCTCCTGCTTCGGCTTCGGGTCCTGCCCGAAGTACTCATGCGCCAGCATCTCCTTGGCCGTCGGCCGCCTGTCCGGATCCAGCGCCAGCAGGCCATTCAGCAGCGCGACGCCCGCGGCCGTGAGCAGCGGGAACTTGGCGCGCAACCCCGACCCGCCCCCCGCGCGGCCCCCCGCCGGCGGCAGCCGCAGCCCGCGCGCGTTGGGCAGCCGCCGGAACCCGGGCCACGTCTCGTCGGTCGGCGTCCCGCACAGCGCAAAGATGGCGCTCAGCTCCTCCACCTCGTTGCGCCCCTGCAGCAGCGGCTCCCGCGTCAGCAGCTCCCCGAAGATGCACCCCACGCTCCACATGTCGATCGCCGCGCCGTACCGCGCCGCCCCGAGCAGCAGCTCCGGCGCCCGGTACCACAGCGTCACGACGAGTTGGGTGAGCTGCGCCGGCGCAGGGTCCCCCACGTACCGCGCCATGCCGAAGTCGGCGATCTTGAGCTGCCCGCGGTTGTTGAGGAGGAGGTTGGAGGTTTTGAGGTCCCGGTGCAGGATCCAGTTGTCGTGAAGGTAGGCTACGCCCGAGGCCAGCTGCTGCAGGAGCGTCTTGACCTCGGACGCGAGGAACGGCTCGGGCATGTCTTCGAGGATGGACTTGAGGTCGTGTTCGAGGAATTCGAGCACGAGGAAGATGCTGTTGGGGGGGATGGGGTGGTTAGCTGGAGTTGGCATCTCGGGTTGGTGTAAGGGGGTTGTTATACTTTTCGATCCTGCTCGTGTCGTCCCCCACGACCACCTCCCGCAGCTTGACCACATTCCGGTGGTCGCAGTCCTTTAGGATCTGGATCTCGCGCAGCCCCGTGACTGGTAGCCCCCCGCGGTCTTTGGGGTCTATCTTTAGCCTCTTGAGGGCTACCACTTTGCCCGTCGCAATCTCCTTGGCCCGCGACACCCAACCGTAGGCGCCCTCCTCGATGTCGTTGAGCTTGTCGTAGTTCTCAACGCTGCGAGACCTGCCGAACGCGCCGCCATTGAAGCGCAATAATTTCGGCGTGTCATTGCTCTCGTCGGAGTGCCCGGTGGCTTGTGTGGTCTCGCGTTCGGGGGATATCTTTCGCCGCTTCGCTGGGGGTCCATTCGTACCATCGCCTTCTTGTTGCGCCGCGGCCGCGGCGGCAGCTTCCCTAGCTTTCTTTTCAGCCTCGAGCTTGCGTGCTTTCTCCGCCTTGAGGCGTTTCTTCTCCTCCTTCTCCTTTTTCAGCTGTGCCTCGAGTGCTGCGTCGGCCTCGTCGTCTGCCCATCGGGATTTGGCCTTGCTCGCCATCGCATCGAAAGTTTGGCCGTAAAGCTTACGGTGTAGGTTGTTTCTCGAATTCGGAAGGCCCGTAAAATATCGGATCAAGTAACCGGAGGTTTCAGGCCGGCAATGGTGTCTCGGGTGGCCGTTTGTAGAAAAGAGATGCGTGCATCTCGAGAGTTTGGATGGATACACCAAGTTGTCTCGGGCAAGCTTAATAGGTGCCGAGTGCTCTTAGAAGATTTCCTAGTTGGTCAAAGCTCTGTCTACCCTGCAATAGAAAACAAAAACATCGTTTTTAAACCGAGAACAAACTGTCAAAAGTGCATTCCCGTCCATCGCTGCAAAAGTAGACAATGGACCGCTGAGAGGCAAAAGGAATGACCGACCCAGGGATCGAACCTGGCACCTTCTCGGTGGAAATGTTTCCAATTAATTCACCTTTGTGAACGAGACGTGATAACCACTACACCAGTCGGCCTTCGATAACAAATTGTTCCGGATTCAGGGGCTATCGCGGGGTCGTCGAGCGATGTTCTTGGCGGCCCGGCCGTTGTCAAAGTTCAACATCCCACTTTCCTTGTTTGTTCAGGGATCATCGAGCTAGCTGCTTTTCACAAACAGAACCTTTTTCTTTCCATGATAAAGAATGATATTGTTTCAACTATATCATGTCCCATGACTAACCTCACATTTCATGGAATCCTGGTAGTTACTTGTACACATTAGGTGTTTGAGAACTCGAGACAAGTGAATTTGGGAACTATGCGGTGAATGGAGGGGCATCCCAGTCAGCACCAATCACCGACCAGGAACAGGGTGTGAACGGGCCAAGCGCTCAGGAGGAGTGGGCACCGCCTCGCCAAGCAGACCCATCCTGGAATAGAGTGACCCTCCCAAGCTCCGAGTCCCCTAAACTTCTTGGTTAGGTGTGCAAGTCAAAGCCAACGCTGTCAACAACCTCTCTCTTGCAACCTGTAAACCCACCCGACATCTTCTCTTAGCCGGTCTCTTTCAACTCCTCGATCCAATGGCCGGCCGATTTGTCCGCGCGTCGAAATACCGTAGGCGTCCTTAGGTTCTGCTCGCGTGCTCTGCTGCGCTGCTGTTACCTGCTACGAGATAGCGGCCCTGCATGCGACAGCTGCTGACCGACCCTTTGACCAGGACACATCTTTGGGAAGCCCACCAAGAAGGACATTTGCTATGATAACCTTCGCATTAGCCGCAATGCCTGGGATACCAACCTAGTGAAGGTACTTAGTCACTAGCCACTCCGTCCCTGATCTGCCCCGCATTCCCCCATCTTGAACTGGCTAGGTTACTGACCTTTGGGCTGCACACTAGGTCAACCCCGAGTATCTTTCCGTCAATTGGGAATCGAGTGGCGGCGGTGCTTTCGCTGTTATCCCCCTGAACGAGCGTGGAAAGGCCCCCGACCAAATACCCCTTTTCCGAGGCCACACTTCTGCCGTGCTGGACACAGACTGGTGCGTCCCAGAGATCCGGTCCCGGGCAGTCGCTGTTCTCTGAATGAGTCTTTGGTTGACCGCCTTCTAGGAACCCCCACAACGACCGCATTATTGCTTCAGCCTCCGATGATGGCAAGGTCTTCATCTGGGAGGTGCCGCAGGGGTTCACTCTGCTCACCGACGCGGAGGAGATCACTGATGTATCGCCCGTTAGCAAGCTGGCCGGCCACTCGAGGTGCGATTCGTACCAGTCTCAAGCAAGTCTAGGCTATCCTACTCACTGCCTTCTAGGAAGGTCGGGCACGTGCTCTTCAACCCCGCGGCCGAGAACATCCTTGCTTCCTCGTCCGGCGACATGACCATCAAGCTGTGGGATGTTACCACTGGGCAGGCCGCCATCAACCTGAAGCACCCCGATATGGTGCAAAGTCTGTCTTGGAGCGCCAATGGCGCCATGCTGGTGACCACCTCGAGAGACAAGAAGCTGCGTGTGTGGGATGTGCGCCAGGAAACGCCGGTGCATGAGTATGCGGGTCATGAGGGTGCCAAAAACAGCCGCGCAGTGTGGCTCGGCGAGCACAACCGCATTGCTACCACCGGATTTTCCAGAATGAGCGAGCGACAAATTGGTTTGTGGGAGCCAGGCCGTAAAGACCCCATTGGCGGCTTCACCTCGCTCGACTCCATCTCTGGCGTTTGCATGCCTTTCTGGGGTAAGCCACCACCGCCCTTTGGTCTGCGGAACAGCTTCTAATCAAACTTATTCTAGACGACGGATCCAACTGTTTGTATCTTGCCGGAAAAGGGTAGGCCAATCCCCGCAGCCCATAAATAATCAAGACATGCTCACCTTCTCCAGCGACGGCAACATCCGGTATTTCGAGTACGAGAACGACAAATTCGAGTTCTTGTCCGAATACAAATCGGCGGACCCCCAGCGCGGAATTGCTTTCCTACCCCGCCGTGGCATCGACGTCCATGAAAACGAGGTTATGCGTGCCTACAAGACAGTCAACGACGCATACATCGAGCCCATCTCCTTTACCGTACCTCGCCGTGCCGAGACATTCCAATCCGATATTTACCCTCCTGCCACGGGCCTTAAAGCCGCCATGTCCGCCAAGGAGTGGTTCGACGGCAAGACGGCCATTCCGGCAAAGATTGACCTAGAAAGCATCTACGACGGGAACGCGCCGGTCGAGGTCCCGGCCGACTATAAGCCGCCCGCAGCCGCTCCTGCTCCCGCCCCGGCACCTGCCGCAGCCCCAAAGAAGGAGCCTGAGCCCGCTCCCGCTCCGACTCGCGCCCCTGCCACCATGGCCGACCAGAAGGACTCCATGTCAGCCATGGCCAACAAGTTCCAGGACAAGGAGGAGGAGGAGCAAGAGGATGACGGCGCCGAGACGTCAAGCTTCGAGGACATCGGGCGTCCCACGATGCGCGTCCCCGTCCGGTCTGCTACCAAGCCGCAACCCGTTACGGCGACCGCACCGCCTGCTCAGGCGAAGCCTGCATCGCCAATCAAGTCGCCGCAGGCCTCTGCTACACCCGTCCCCCTTGCTGCCCCCGCGGCCTCCTCTACAGCAGCGGCCCCCCCAAGCCCGGCTGTCGAGGCATCGCTGGGTGAGATCAAGCAGCTCATCGAGGAGCAGGGCAAGGTTATCTCGGCCCAAAGTGAAAAGATCACTGCCCAGACGCAAATCATCACCCGTCTCGCCTCCGAGGTTGAGACACTCAAGAAGAGAGTCGGCTCGGGCTCGCAGGACCAGAGCGAGCGGATCCGGCAGCTCGAGCTGGAGCTGGAGGCTGCTCGGTCTTGAACAGTCACGAGACCGGAGGGGGTAGGAAGGCTAGAGAAGTGGGACGGCCTCACTACGATGATGTTTATGAGCAATGCGTAGGTGTTTTGAGTCCTCCGTGTATCATGATAAGAGGGACTGGTCGGAAAATGCGCGTTGGCTTTTTTCCTGGACAGGCAGCCAAACAAATACCCAACTTTATACTCCCAAAATGCGCCATCAACGGCCCGTGACATATCCGTGAGTCGCTTGGTGTGATGTGTGCTTCTTTTGTCCATGGAAGCATGGTTTTGCTATGACCCGGATACTTGTTGTATGGGTCATGTACCAGCCGGAGATCCGCGAATGTCTTGATCGGTCAGACGGTCACAGCACTTGAGGGTTAAAAGGCTGGACGACTGAAGAGCTCCCACATCAATAATTACTACGATGTAGCTCGGGAGGAAAGCAGGAAGAAAACAAAAGAAAAATGTAATAATATATCTAATAAACTTTACAAATTAATGACCATCCCATTCTTTTCGCTTTTCTCTCTTTCGATAATATCCCATGCCATCCCCTCACCCAAGACCAGACACCAAAAAAAAACAACCAACCAAAGGGGCGCTGTACACGTAGGTAATGTAGTCACAGCCCCTCACGCCCCTTCCTCCGCCCCGCGAGACCCCGCATAAACCCCCGTATCCCACACCACCAACCTCCCCCGCCGCCGCCAGTCCTCGTTGAACGCCCCGTTCCACGCAGACCACACCCGTGTGAGCTTCACCCCCATCCCCGCGCCCGGCGCGTCGGCGCCCTCAAAAAACCGCCTCAGCACCGTCTCGACCCCTTCAAACCCCACAATATACCGCGGCACCTCCCCGCTCCTCCTACCACTATCACCGTGAAGAGGCCACACCTCCCGCCCTAAAAACCCCACCCCATAACCCCCCGCCTCCTCGCCTTCGGCGTCGGCGTCGGCGTCCTCGAGATAGAAGCGGTCGGCCTCGTCGAGGTAGGTGGCGCGCTCCGCGGAGCCGGGGCCGGTGTGCAGGGGCGGCTCGCAGGTCAGGGCGCGGGCGCGCAGGGCCGGGTAGACGAGGTGGGAGCGCCAGGGGGTGGTGTGGCAGGGGGTGAGGAAGAGGGCGAAGAGTTCTTTTTCTTTTGTGTGTTCTTCTTCGGTTTCTTCGGCGGGGGTGGTGAGTTGGAGATGGAGGGCGTCTGGGTGGATGCGCTCAAAGTCGGTGCGTAAAAAGGAGAGGACGGAGAGGGGGGCGGGTTGGTGGAAGAGGGAGAGGTAGCCTGCTAGGAGGAGGTTGAGGGAGAGGAGGTTGGTGAGGGTTAGTTTGTGGCGGAGGGTGACGGGTGTTGGGGTGGTGGTGGCAGTGGTAGTGGCAGTAGCAGGTTTGGTGAAGAAGGAGGTAATGTAGGGCGCTGCGAGTATGTGTAGCACCGGGAGGAGGGGGTAGATGAAGCGGACTTCTTTGTGGGAGATGAGGGAGAGGGCAGCAATCATGGTTAGGGCGGCGGCATTCAGAGTGCCAAGGACGCCGGATCGGAGGGCGTGGGGGCTTTCGGATGAAGAAGTTGCCTTGTAGAGCCCGACGAGGGTGAACGGGAGGAATGTAGTGGTGAGCAACGGTACGCCCTGGGAGAGGTAGTAGTGCCAGGGCATTTGGCCGTAAAAGACGGCGAGTGATTGTGAGATGTTGAAGTAGAGCCAGTTGTATGGCGGAAAGGTCCAAAAGCCAAAGTACAGGCGATCGGAAACGAGAGAGATGGCTAGCACCGCCGTGCCGCAGATGACGATCTCACGGAAGAGCACCAGCAAGGTCGATGTCTGCATAGCTGACTGCCCAACGGGGACCAGCCGCGTCAGAGAAAGGCCCAGGACGACGAGCCATATGAGTAGGTTAGTCGGGCGTAGCAACACGGCGATGGCGGCGAGTACAAGCGATATACGCAGGCTTTCATGTTGTTAGCCGAGCTCGTGGAGTAGTATCAGCAAGAACCTACCTCGTTACGCTTCCCTTCTGCTGTAAGGGTGCTTGGGCTTTTTTGCTCGGCCTTGAATCATCTAGGACTTCCCAAGGCCAGTAACACAGAGCGGCAATAGTCAAGGTTGTCTCTAGAGAGTTGGAGAAAGTCCTCGTAGAGCAATACCACTGCCATGGGCTGAGCACCGACATCCATAGCTAGAAGAGTCAGTGGTGGACGGCAGGGCGGAGTAG